CACCTTTATTTAGTTTTGTTTAGGGATATGCAGGCGTCGTTAGAAATGAAAGGGCTGATATGTTGGCTGGATCCGCTATCACTACCGACGGTCAGCCTATGGATCATGCTGATATTATTATTGCCCTCAGAGAAATGGGAAGGATAGAGGACTTTGAGTGCAGTGAATCCACATCACTCGCCAGAATGGCAGACTTGGGAATTAAGATCGGCAAATCAAAAAAACATGACGCACACCAGAAGACTTGTTAATCAACATAGAACTGGTACTATTAGCTATGGGACGTTAAGGTTCATACTAAGGGGAGAATCTGAGCACTTATGGACATGTCCAGAGTGCGATGATGATAACCCAACTAACTACCTAAATAGCTTAATAACTTTATGTTTACGTTTTACTTAAGAGACCGCTGCTAACATGATTTCTCTACAGATCGCTTTTATCAAACAAGATTGTAGTGACCCCATTTATGTCACACAGTATCTCATGATAAAAACAATTCAAAGCAGTTATATTCTTTTAATATTCAGAAACCGTGAATTGTTAACATTTTGGCTCGGTACTTTGGATATCGCAACCTTGCGGTCTTGATTCCATGACAGATGCTGTAAATCTGGGAGAAATGTGGTTGTTCTGCCCCCTCCCCCGACCTGAAGCCGGACCATAAGGAGTTTGTCACCCGGTCGCCTCGAAGTCAGGTTAAACCAATTACGCTAGCTAGCATGGCGTCCCAGGCACGAACTGTCACTGTCCGTCGGGGACTAATAATCATACACGTTTTAAAAGGTCCAAATTTAGCTACTATACGTTAACATGTAATAATAACGGTGATGAGAGGACCCGGGATTACTCCCACTGAATACGCACACAAAAAAGTAAAGGACCCTTTTCCACGCCTTTAGGCGTATAGGGCATATAGGGCTAGACCTATATTTTAATAGACCGATCGGCACAAGATGGGTGATGTGGTCAGCATCACGTTGGCATTCCATATTTATAATTAAATATTAAAAAGAGTATTAACATATGCAATCGACACTGGAATCCTGTAGGATTACTGCTAATGAAAACATCTCTCTAAACTGTTGCAGATACCAGTCAAGAGGTAAACATTGGAATCAGACATCACCAAAAGCAGTAGCTTGTAATTTTTCCGAAATCTCTCATGTGACAGTGCGACGATGCCAGCCACATTTTCTGCTATACCAAACACGGCAATACAAAGAATAAGTCCCTGATGAAATATTAACAATGATTGCAAAGTCAAGTTCCGCTGAGAGAATGAGGGCGTATAACGTTTCGTTGATCATGAGCAACCACACAAACGTTGTGTCTAGCATATTAGTTGTGTCTGGTGAAATGTACACACATAAAGGCTGTCTTAAAGACATTTTTTGATGATTATACACATTAAGGCTGTCTTAAAGACAGATGTTGATGTTTACACACATTAAGGCTGTCTTAAAGACAGATGTTGATGTTTACACAAATGATGGTTGCCTTACTAAGGCATGATCACATAATCTATTTAACATTGATATATGGGGAGCTGACTGGCCAGCAAACAATGGTCCGGAGAGGCGACAGTCCAGTTCACAATAGTTATATAGAACCGATCGACCAGTACACAATAGTTATATAGAACCGATCGACCAGTACACAATAGTTATATAGAACCAATCGACCAGTACACAATAGTTATATAGAACCAATCGACCAGTACACAATAGTTATATAGAACCGATCGACCAGTACACAATAGTTATATAGAACCAATCGACCAGTACACAATAGTATAATAGAAACTATAGTCCAGTAAAAAAATAAGTATGCAGGGGCCGAACAATGCAGTGAAAAATAGGATCGAGGGTGCCCCACCCAGTAAACAATGGCATGAACAGCCGACGTCCAGTAAACAAAGGTATGGAGAGGCGAAGGTCCAGTAAACGGTGGCATAGAGAGCCGACCGTTTAGAAAAATATGGCATGGAGAGCCAACAGTCCAGTAAACAAAAGTATGGAGAGCTGATTGTTCGTTAAACAGTGAGACGAAGAGTCCAGCGGCCAGCAATTTTACTTTGAATCGCTGACTTTTAGTTGAACAGCGGAAGAAGGAGTCCACCGGCCAGCAAATTATAGTTTGAAGCGCTGACTTTTAGCTGAACATCGGGAGGAAGAGTCCACCGGCAAGCGAATTATACTATGGAGAGTTGACTGCACGGTAAAGGATGGGAGAGAGAGTCTACCAACCAGTAAACAGTGGTATGGAGAGCCAACAGTCCAGAGAACAATGGTATGAAGAGCCGACAGTCCAGTAAATTATGGTATGAAGAGCCGACAGTCCAGTAAACATTGGTATGAAGAGCCGACAGTCCAGTAAATTATGGTATGAAGAGCCGACAGTCCAGTAAATTATGGTATGAAGAGCCGACAGTCCGGTAAACAATTGTATGACGAGCCGGCAGTCAAGTAAACAATGGTATGCGGAGCCTACAATTTAGTAAACAATGGTGTGGTGAAGCGACCGCCCAGTAAAATATGGCAAAAAGAGCCGACCGTCTCGCAAAAACAATAGTTTGGAGAGCTAACTTTTTGTTACAAAGTGGGTGTCATAAATAACAAAACAAAATTCCAAAGGTGAACATAGAAGATGAAATGATAACGTTCCAATTTTCCGACAGGAAGCTGCAGTCTGTAACGCGAAAACAAAACATAAGAGAGAGAGAGAGAGAGAGAGAGAGAGAGAGAGAGAGAGAGAGAGAGAGAGAGAGAGAGAGAGAGTGAGAGAGAGAGTGAGAGAGAGAGAGAGGGAGAGGGAGAGAGAGAGAGAGAGAGGAGTAGTTTGTGTTATGAGGTGGAGAAGGAAATATGGAGATGCAGACAAAAGTGAACTGAGATAGAAAGAGGTGTAGGGAGAAAGATGAAAGAGAGAAGGGGGAAGGAGAACAGAAAATGAAAAAAAAAAGATTTCAATGCTGAGGTGGACACAAGCAAAGGGAGAATCAAGCAGACAGACAGACAGACAGACATAAAGACAGATAGCGGACAGGCAGGCATATTGAGGAGACATCAGATAGGCATACTATGATATTGAGGGTCCAATAGTTCAGATAACATTGACAAACTACTGAACGTAACATTGATGACTAGAACCAAAAACAGCCAAAATTGAATTGGTTGGTTTCGGCGTCTTGTCGAGGGTATGACACTGTTATTTATTCAGTATGCGATAGGAAAGTCTTTTCCTTGCTCTGAATGGGCGGGGCATAAATTTAATAACTATGCACATGTATGTTCGTAGGCGCGCGCGTGTGTGTGTGTGCGTGCACGAGCGTGCTAGATATGACACAAATTTAGTTTAAGAAAAGGCCGGGACACAACCACTCTCTAGACTAGTCGTAGTGAATCTTCAAGATACAGATAATTCAATCTATACTCTTTAGTTGGAACAAGACAAGATTACAGGCACACATTTATACGCAGACTGCGTATAGAAATTACAGCTATTAAAAAATGCATTGAACAAATTAGGATTTCACTTTTTTCAAAAGAGTTCGTTCAGTTAATGCCGCTAGAAACAGGAAAGCGTCTTTTAATAATGCATTTATTTTTTATTAGGAGGAAACGTGTTGAAATTATCTAGATCGTCTCGATCTCTGTAAGAACGCCTTCTACAGATTTAAAAAATGTCACCAGAAATACACAGAAAACGGTGAAATAATGTAAGGAAAGTGAAGTCTTGATGAAGCTGAAATCAGACATCAATTTCTTCTCTCATTACGGACTTTCTTCTTTCTCGCTCATCTCAGCGGTACTGGGTAACTCGACAATCAACTAGTTGTCGTAAAATGGCCCCATTGTTCCACAAAATGGTAATTGCAAATTGCCCAGTGAGGTTATCAGAGTTTTTACAATGAGGACTCGATCAATAACATGCGTCTTAAATCAAATGTGGTGATTTTCCAGAAATGTAATTTCCACTTTGTTCTTCAAATTACGGAATGAAGTATTTTAGAATGACAATTTTATAATTTCAGTTCAGGTATTTCTTTGATTAGATTAGAAGAGGTTAGCAATTGATTATGTAAAAGTTCATAATTTCAGTTTAGGTGTTTCTTTGATAGAGGAAAAGAGATTAGCGATTGATTATGTCTGCAGTGAAACGTACTAGTACTCACGCAGATATATACTGATAGCATAGAGACCTGGAAACGCTCAACATAACATCGGCTTCGACATGAGAAAATTGGAATACGTATCTATCACGTCAATAATGTCACTCTCTGAGAGAGTTGAATTTAACTAGACAACGAGATAGAACAAGAAAACGGCGAAGAGACAAAGTGCAGAGAGACCTAGAGACATTTGAAGTTACCAAATGGAAAGAGAAAGCCAGTCAGGCAAGTAGGTGATATCTGCAGCAATAACCCTTAAGAATATCGGAATGCAAAAGTAAAAAAAGTGCTTCTCACGAACATTAACAACAGTTGATTGTGTTGTCTCAGTAAAAGGGAAATAAACGCGTAGCCATTATTTTCTGACCACAAGAAGGCATTAGAGATGCATACACATTACTGAACAATAAACGTATCCGTGTTAGCCCTCGACTGTTTACCAGTTTATCATTTATTAACAGTTTTAACTTCACAGCAAACAGATCATCTCCTAGTTGCTCAGTTCCATTCGCTGCATAAACCACACAGTGTGTCTATTGCTGTCTCGTGTGAACATATTGAAACATAATGCAGTCTTGACAATGTCGAAAACAAACACTAAATTTGCAGTTCGTCGTTGAATGAAGCAGTAATAAAAAAAAAATTTGCTGTTGCCTACTCAATTTCGCACAAAAGAAACCCAGTTCTGTGGCAACAGAATCTACAATTCGACATTAAATACTGTTGTCTGCCTGTCTGACCGTGTGCCTGTCAGTCTGTCTACCTACCTACATTCCTACCTACCACCCGTGTTTCAGCTGTGTGAACAGTCAACACAACCAAGTCGATGGCAGCGGCCAATGCAACATCACCTGCCTTACTTGTCAGCTGGGAACTTTATGACACAATCTTGTTTACAATTGATCTTGTGATTCTCCCGTGTATCAGTGTGTTGGGTATAGCAGGCAATGTGACTGGCATCATTGCACTGGCACGAGAGGGATTTCGGAAATGTTCCAATGTATTGCTTTTTTCATTGTCTATTTCTAATCTTATCTACTTGATTGGTGTGAACAAAATATTCGAATATATTTATACAAGCAGGAACCCAAGTGGATTCTACTTCTCTGAAGCTGTCAATTACACGTGTTATATTCTGTATCTAGTATGGGGTTTATTATCTTCACTAGGAGGACTGACATGTCCGCTTATTCCTCTTCTAATAACTGTCGAACGTATATTAGTAATATTCTACCCATTCAAAGCGTTTCTGATTTTGACTCCCCGCCGAATAATAATACTACTTATTTGTGTCTATGTTCTATTAACGATTTACATGTTAGGTACCTTATTAACGATAATACAGTTGAAGACGTATGTCATAAAAAATGTCTCAAAAGCCGTAATTGTCAGAAGCGATCTGCTGAGAAATCCCATTATCGACGATCTTTTTACATTCTTAAGGGATTTAACTAATTACCTGACAGGAATAATTCCACTGTCCCTTATAACAGTAGGCTGTGGTATAATTGGGCTCAAGATCATACACGTCACTAAAAGACGTCAAAAGCTGACCTCCAAGCAAATCAAAGCTAACACCAAACACGGCATAACAAAGACAACAAAAACTTTATTGAAGATTTGTCTACTGTATATTCTGTGCTATGGTAATATGTTTTTTCTTATGTTAGTTGTAGATAGTGAACTCTTAAAAAACGAAAGGCCACTTCAAAATGTTTTGATTCGCGTTCAAGATTTGATAATATCTATAAACTGCCTAGGAGACGTTCTTATTTACATTGCATCAAACAAGAGTTACTGGAAGTCACTTACTGTGTGTGCTTAGTGCAACAAAGCCTGGTATTTGATATCACAACGTCTAGTTTGAGAATGGTGGTGGAGGTGGTCACTGCTGCCTTCCGCTGTCTTGAGAATCAACTGTACACACATGCCGTGATTGTGACGGACTCACAGAGCATGCTGAGGAAGGTGGAGACAGGTACGCTCCTTGCAGAGTGATAATCCTCACTTCATAGGTCCAGGGTAGTTAGTATCCTCTGGATATTCTCTTCAGGTTATGCCGGTGATTTGGGAAATTAGCAGGCAGATAGACTGGTCGGTGTTGCACCACTAGATGGTTAAGTGATGTGTGACAAGCTAGACTTTGTTAGGGACCTCTAAAAGCGAGTGAACAGTGCGGAAGAGCAAATCGATCAATACGGTCTCAGCAGAATGGCGCTGCGAGGAGTTACCAGGGGGTCTGGCTGTTGCTTAGCACTTAGTGGAAGGGGGAAATATACAACCAGATAGTTACTGGCGCCATCAGAATTAGAACACCTCGTTTGCTTCCTGAAGGTGGAGACGGAGCGCATAAGTGGTGTCCCGAGTGCTACGATATCGATTCTGACATTCAACATTCAGTTACTAAGTGTCAGAGAATGAAAACAAAAACGTTAATGATTGGCTGTCTGGTCAAGTTATGCGGACATGAAATGTGTGTTATTCCTTTTTAATGACAGTCTTAAGATAGTTCCTGTTTGTAATAAGAACTTCTTTTACAACATGGAGTCTGTTTTACTCACATAAACTGTGGAAATAAGTACGCGTAAAATACATGATTTTAAAACTCAGTAATTGTATTGTTTTATTTTTCTCTGTGTTCGATATTTGCTAAAGTTTACACAAACTGTCAATGTTTTCCCAGCTGTATTCGATATTTGCTACAGTTTACACAATCTGTCAATGTTTTCCCAGCTGTATTCGATATTTGCTAAAGTTTACACAAACTGTCAATGTTTTCCCAGCTGTATTCGATATTTGCTACAGTTTACACAATCTGTCAATGTTTTCCCAGCTGTGTTTGATATTTGCTACAGTTTACACAATCTGTCAATGTTTTCCCAGCTTATTCTTCACATTCACAGCCCTGATGTTTACAAGAAGGGTCACAGTTCCTGTCTGTGACTGGTTTTGTTTTTTCCAGCTGGTGGCTCTAAGTGTTTGCAGATCTACCTGTATAATATCTCTCTGCACTCTTCTTGATCTGATTCGTTCTCTACTCTTATTCAACTCTGTTATTTACTCGTTCTTTGTTGCTCTGTGATCGACCATTCTCTTCCTATGTCCGAACCGTTGCAGTCAGTAAGCCTCATGATCTCAGTAATAAGCTGTTATCTGAAGAGATTATGGATTTCTTTGCTCTGTTTGAAGACCACATATGAACGACGTTTGGTAGAAGACACAAGATTAGATTAAATAACATGGGCAGGATTGTGTGAGCGAGGAATTAAGTGTAGATCCATGAAGGAGGGACGGATGAGAGGAATAGATCGGCGTGTGTATAATTAGTGTGCTACGGGAAATGTTGGCATCTACATTTTACGTTATTTGATGCTGAAGACGGAGCATCAGTGGGTATTGCCGGGTGTGCTATGATGTCGATTCCTAAATCAGTAATCAGTCTGAGTCTGCATGTCCCTCTGCTCTAGAGTCGTTATAATTTAATTTCAGGATTAACAAATGATTCATTTTCAAAGTCGCCCCTTGTGGGATGCAATTTTTTGTTTTTTGAAGCCCCACCATGACTTGCTGCCGGGGGCCCTGAATATAGCCAGGGCATAGATATAACCTAGCCATAGATATGGCCTAACGGCTAAAATGTGTTTCTAAGACCTCTCCACCAGTGATCCTCATCAGCGTGGTAGCACTTTGTCCTGGCGGGGTACAACTACCTACCTACATTAACAAAGGATTCGATCACGGGTGGGAGTATAAAAACGCAAAGATCAAAAGAAACATTTATGTTGTTGCTAAAACATAATGCTGCATTGCTGTAGCAGAAATGGCTCATCGCTGAATAGAATTGTGCAGCGTGTAGGGGCCAGAGGTGTCTGACAGACATGACTCAAGACTTAGGGGTAAAGTTAACACTGACACATAGACGGCTACTGGTACAATGTTTTTTTTTTTTTTTTTTTGAATTATTCGCTGGTTGTTGATGACGAGTACGGAATGCCTACGGGAATTGCCCGAATTCTGTAATGTTGTTTCTTGACTCAGCTCTCCACCTTTTTCTTCTTAACGTCCTCTTTTATCGCTTCGGGTGTCGACGGAAATATAAGGTCCTGTTTCGTGCACTTCGACCATAGACCTACCTACTACTACGAACAGAAATCTGGCCCCAAGAGCAAACTGTTGAGTTGAGTTGAGTCAAGAATTAACATCACAGCACTCGGAGCATTTCCAGGCTGGCTCTGTCCTCAACTTCAGCAGCCAGCGCAGAGTTCTAATACTGATAGTACCGGTTTAAGAACAAACTGTGCAGAGCTAGCTATAGGGAACCATAAAGGACCCACAGTTGACATGCGAGTTCATAGAGGCAACCCACTTGATGGACTGACCTGAGCATACGAAACTAAACGCAAAGAAAAAGTAATTCCTGACCTGAGCATACGAAACTAAACGCAAAGAAGAAGTAACTCTACACAACTCAGCGTAACAAAACCCTTACGAAATGTGTTTGCAGAAATGTATATTGACACAGTAGATATTATAGCACCCATAAAGGTATTGTCCATTCAATCAATAATTTAAAGCGCATTGCTAGTGCATTTATTATTGAAATGCCCGGTTAGCTAGCTTAGTCGGTTAAAGTCTGACATCGCGGCGACCGGGAGACAACTCCGTGTGGTCTGGTTTCACGCCCGGGGGTTTGCAGAAAATCTAAATTTCTCCTAGATTTGCGGTATCTATCAGGGAATCAAGGCAGAAGGGTTGCGATATCTAAAGTACCGAGCCAAAGGGTTAACAACTCATGGTTTCTGGATACTATAAAAAAAATTTATCGAAATCAGTTTAGTTAGCATATGTGTTGCTGAAGCGCTTGGACAATCACACCATTACAACTGTACATGATGTTTTTTTTTTTTTTTACAGCACACATTTAAGTAAACCAATGTGTTTTCTATGTCTTCCTTTTATCAGTTACATTATCCCTGTGCTCATCATTTCCAACTGACCGACTCCTTTTACAAGTTCCCTTTCTTCAATACGCGGTGTGGGCACGTGACTGTGCACAGATTCCAGTGTATCGACACACTGCCAGTCTTCTGTGACTTGTCTTTCTGATCTTCTGTGACTTGTCTTTCTGATCTTCTGTGACTTGTCTTTCTGATCTTCTGTGACTTGTTTTTCTGATCTTCTGTGGCTTGTCATTCTGATCTTCTGTGACTTGTCTTTCTGATCTTCTGTGACTTGTCTTTCTGATCTTCTGTGACGTTGATATGACCAGTCATTTTTAGTTCTAGTACAGGATGCTGTTTATGAGCCAATGTTCGTGTATATAGTGGGAACGGCTGGCCGAGGAGCTAGTGCTCTGGGCCCTCATTTTAGGAGACCAAGGTCTGATATCAGGATAAACGTAAGAATGCTTATTTAGAAATGATAGAGTTAAAAAAAAATATATAAAAAAAGGACTAGTTACTCATAAAAAAAAGCAATGAAAACGGATATCCCTAGCTCTAACCAGTTATCAAATATTTTCCAGCACAAGTAATTCATTAAATCATCGAGCACCAGATTACAAGCACATTGCGTTTAGTACGTGGTTACCTGACATTCCAAGCCTTCTATTCATGCAATGTTTGGCGAAGGACTTGCATCTCCACCACAACGACACACATCGCCACCACAACGTCACACATCTCAACCACAACGTCACACATCTCCACCACAACGTCACACATCTCCACCACAACGTCACACATCTCCACCACAACGTCACACATCTCCACCACAACGTCAAACATCTCCACCAAAACGTCACAAATCTCCACCAAAACGTCACAAATCTCCACCACAACATCACACATCTCCACCACAACGTCACACATCTCCACCACAACGTCAAACATCTCCACCACAACGTCACAAATCTCCACCACAACGTCACACATCTCCACCAAAACGTAACACATCTCCACCACATGGTCACACATCTCCACCACACGGTCACACATCTCCACCACACGGTCACACATCTCCACCACACGGTCACACATCTCCAATACAACGTCACACATCTCCACCACACGGTCACACGTCTCCACCACAACGTCACACATCTCCACCACACGGTCACACGTCTCCACCACAACGTCACACATCTCCACCACACGGTCACACATCTCCACCACACGGTCAAACATCTCCACCACACGGTCACACGTCTCCACCACAACGTCACACATCTCCACCACACGGTCACACATCTCCACCACAGCGTCACACATCTCCACCACACGGTCACACGTCTCCACCACAACGTCACACATCTCCACCACACGGTCACACATCTCCACCACAACGTCACACATCTCCACCACACGGTCACACATCTCCACCACACGGTCAAACATCTCCACCACACGGTCACACATCTCCACTACACGGTCACACATCTCCACCACAACGTCTCACATCTCCACCACAACGTCACAAATCTCCACCACACGGTCACACATCTCCACCACAACGTCACACATCTCCACCACACGGTCACAGATCTCCACCACACGGTCATTCATCTCCACCATAACGTCACACATCTCCACCACACGGTCACACATCTCCACCACACGGTCACACATCTCCACCACACGGTCACACATCTCCACCACACGGTCACACATCTCCACCACACGGTCACACATCTCCACCACAACGTCACACATCTCCACCACACGGTCACACATCTCTACCACAACGTCACACATCTCCACTACACGGTCACACATCTCCACCACAACGTCACACATCTCCACCACAACGTCACACATCTCCACCACA